GACGACACTGAACTCCCTTAGCACCAACTTTGTTGAAAAAGTATTTTCTTGTCTTAGAGGAAGATGAGTAAGACCTGATTACTTCCTGGATGTTGGCATGCACTAGCTGTTCCAAGTATGCACGCATATGTTATGTATGACTTATCTTTGGCTTTGGTTGTAGGTCTTTCAGGTTGCAGCCTATGAAGAAGAGGCACGAATAGCATTTGCAGTGCTGGATGCGGTTGAAGGCAAAACTGATGATGCCTTCCTAGCATTTGAAGCTATCAAGAATGTGATTTCATACTGGAATCTTGCCGAGGTTGGTTTCTAACCTGCATTACCCCAAATGCTTTTTCGTTACTTGCATTCCAACTGATTCTTATTAATCCAAATGCTGTTGCTTAGCTTTGCCAAAGAAAGGCAGAGGAGATTGTGAATGGTGATGTTTTGCCAGAAGAACAAGGAGAACACAAAACCTATCTTCTTAAAAGAAAGCACTACCTAACGAAGATCATTGATGAGTTCTCCTCAGATCTGTCAGTAGCTGACAAAGTAAGTAATTCTTGCTCAACATCTTGTTTGGAGAGATGCAGTGGTGTCGCTTATGGTTTCAAATTGAAACCATTTGCAGCCCTTTGCTTTAAGGCAAGTGAAAACTTACTTGTTCCCCCAGACAAATAACTTGCCTAACTCCAGTGGGTTGATATATTCTGGGAAATTTCTCTAACAACATGAGAACATGCAATGTTTTGACTCCTGCAAATGGCAATTTTTATGTAAACAAATAGCTTTTTCCCACTATCTTCTTAGTGTGGTTGATAGTTTCCAAGTAGAATTCAGGCTTGTGTGAATTGTCCTCTTACATTAATTTTAACAGAGAAAAAAAAAAAAAAAAAAAAAAAAAAAGCAAGGAACAAAACTTAACAACATTTCTGTCTTTTTGTAAATGAAAGCCTTGTGAGCTGTTCTACCAGAGTTCAGAATGTAGCCTCTTGCTCTGAGGAAGGATTTCAATCATGACTTGCATTTCAATTAATTTTCTAGCTGCCAGTGTCTATTGAAACTTTAACAGAAATGCTGAACGCAGTGATCCAGGAACTTGGAGAATTTGAAGAGAAGGAAGAGGGGGATCTTTCCTCCAGAAAGATCTCTCAAGCTGCAGGTTCAGGAGTAAAACATTCCATTCCATTTCCTAAGAAGTTATTGTTCTCACCAACTGACAGCTACAAGGTACATGAGCCATATGATTTCAGGGAAACGTTACGTTTGAATAACAACTCAAAGTTCAGTACATTCTTTTTTTTTTTCCAGTTTTCTCCTAAAACTCTCCCTCAGTGGGCAGAAGATGCCCAGTCTTTACTTCAGATACTCTGTCAGCAAGTGGAGGCTTTAAAGGTAAACAACTTTGTCACTATATTCAATGAAGAACAGTTGATCTTTTTGTTACGGTAGGTACTTGGTGATCCAAGCATTGGACAGACATTCTTACTGGACTAGTGCACGACTCATGAAAACATCTGCTCTAAACATCTGCTGAAATTGAGTGCGAGAGTAAAACTTGTTGCCTATAAACTCTGACTGGGGACTCAGAGATGCGGAGGGAGCCTTTCTAAGGACTGTGTGAACAAGAAAGAGTCCTGCTTTCATCAGCTTAGCTATCATCCTCTTGGTTCTGGGCTTTTTCTAGCTTCGGAGAACAGTCTCAGAGTTCTGTACAGGACGAGCAGATCTTGAATTATTCCAGCAGTTAACTCTTGTTTTTGTCAGACCTTAAACATGCTTTTAAACAGCATGAGCGTAGGGATCATTCCTTAGGTTTTCTTCAAATACCTATGGAATACCTTTACGTTCTCTTAATTGAAACACTGTCTTTAACAGAATGACATTCAGGAAATGAAATGTAATAACTCCAGTGTGAGTGTATCATCTCATCGATGGCCTGCTAAAAGCCGTGGAACAGATGGTTCTGATGGTTCTCAGCGAGCACAAAATCTTCAGGAAGCTCCCTTAACAGGTATGTTGTTGCTATTCCAAAGAAAGCAACTGCAAAGAACTGTGTTTTGTGCCAAAGCCCAAATCCAGCTCCGTGGGAAACACGTGGCCCCCCATTAACTGAATGTGCTGCAAGTTTCAAAGCCAGCCGTAATGCTGCACAAGAGAATTTTGGATCTGGCTTTGCTACAATGGAAGGTCAGTGGGACTGGAATGGTGAGAAACGAACCCGCTGCCTCCTAGCGTGTTTCCTGCCAGAATCCAAGCAAAGCTAATACAAAAGCATCTCTTCAACAGTTTTCCTTTAAACTTGAACAAGTAGATGCTCCAAAGACCACTCAGAATTACTTGAGAACTGCTTTCTCTATAGCTGTTCTGTATGCCGAGTCCAAAACAAACAAATGATGAAAACTGTTGTTCCTGTAAAAATCCTAACTTGCAAAGTCAACCTAGTGTGCTACTATCCATCGTTCAGTGGATTATTCTATACCTTGTAAATATATTAATATATATGATATTTATATATCTGTCTGTTGCATTTCAAAGACTGAGCAGTATTCTGGTTGTCTCGGGAGCATGGAACTAAAAGATGACTTCTTGAACAGTGAAAGTTTCAGTAGCAGCCACCCTGGTAATAGGTTGAGATTAGTTAGTAAAAAGCACAGATTTCCCATGAGTAATTTGAAACAAGTTGCTGTTTAATGTCTTCTGGGATTTCAAACACTCATAGCTAGTCAGTAGTACATGTTGCTGCAGACAGCTTTTCTTTTTTTTCTCAGTCCTGCCTGAATTTTGCTACTCCACCTCTGTAAACGACACCTCTATGGCTCTTCTCCGTAATCCTGTATTGTTTGGTGTGAGGATATAACTGACCCTTGTGACAGTATAAAGATGCAGGCTTGTTCCTGATCTGAGCCTTGAATTTCAAAGGCAATAGTGTAAGATGTAATTGGGCACAGAGATTGGAACTTGTTACGTTGCGGCACGGTCTGTAACTTGTCTGTCCCAGCATTCTGTAACTTGGACTGTTTTTTTTCTGTGGACAAAGAGAAAATGTGTAGACTCCAAATCTGCTTCTAACTACCTAAGAAATAATTCAGCTCAATAATAAGGGCATTGTGGGGTTAATGCTGCTATTGTTCTGAAGGAATTCAGTCTTCATGTTTTGCTCAATTTCTGTCCAAAGCAGAGATGACAACTGCGCCATCAGACGATCCACCATCTGATGATGTTATAATTGCTGACGAGCTAACACCTACCTCAGAGCAGAAAGCTCTTGCTGGTTTTCTGAATCTGCCTTCAACATTCTTCTGTAATAAGAATAAGCCCGGATACATACCCAAAGAGGATGATGGTAAGGAGAGTCCAAGTTGATTTTTGTGTTGCTTTTTTTTGTGGAGAAAGGGTATCGTACCATTAGAACCAACAGATGCTGATATAGGGCAGTGGTACTCCTGCCATCCTCCTTTTGGGCAAGGATCGTGTGTCTCCCTTCCAAATCTGTCTTGTGGTGCTCTTAGTAAAATTACCAAGATGCTTTTTTTCTGAAAATGCAAAACCTATGCCAGACCTCTCGGCTGAAGAGCTGTCAGTAGTGTAATCAAGCACCTGTACGCAAATAGGAATGGGAAGCTTGCTTGCTGATGTGTAAAGCTCTCAATAGGTATGCAGAAGTTTTGTATGCTTGCTGGGCTTGTAAGTCTGAAGGGCTTAACAGGCTTAGACTTCTCTGGATTTGGAGCGTCACTGAGAACTTCCACTTGTTTCCTATATATAAGACAAAGACCATGAAGACTATGAAACAGCTGTTAAGAAACGTAATGGAAGACTGTATTCCAGTGATCAAAAAGGGGAAAGGAAATTGCAAGGTGTGTCTGAAAACACAGTGCTTCTGTGATGCCCACATTTCAGCTTTAAATCTAGGGGACAGTTAGGCTCTGGGGTTAACTAGGATAGTTAAGTGGAGTAGTTTCCTGAGACGGATAGTTTTAGAAACACTCATGCTGGAGTCAGAAAAGCAGCTACTCAGCAGTTTTAGCATCAGTGAGTTGAAATGTTAGCTTTATGTGCAACCTGAATGAGAAATGTACGTTTTAGAGAGCCTCTAAATAAGAGCGTCAAAGTGTTTTCCTACTTGGAGACTTTCTGCCATTCTTCTGAATACGGAGAGCTGAGCTTTGCAAGATGCATGGAAAGGCTTGGGGCCTGGGGGTGGAAGAATGGTCTACAGCTATGAATGTTTGCTACTTCTGCAGATAGTTTTCGTACATTATGAGTTTACCAGTTAATCAATAGCTTAAAACCAAAGTACACTGTTTTAAAATACAGCTGTATCTTTTGATTAAAGTCAAAAATACAAGCACAGAAGACTGATCTTGGTTGCTTAGGTGCTTATGGTTATTTTGACTGTGCCTCAGACTTCAGTGTTTTGTAACCGAATCTGGATAGATACTAGAACAGATGAGGTCTGATTCTGAGGATATGAATTTCTGTGTACTAGGAAGAGTTGGCATATATTGAGCTATCAGAAAAAGAAGTAAATGTCAGAGGAAGCTAGTAGTAGAAACAACTGCAAGACTGAAATGTTCACCACTGCATGGGAGTTCCTTGGTAGCAATAGAAACCAAGCCTTGCAAATTTGCAGTTCCCGTGCCACTCTTACATAATGGTGCTATTTGAAAAGTATCTTACTTTAAGATGATCTGGGTATCATTAGGATAATTTAAAATGTAGGTGCCAAAGATTGTCGCCGTATTAAGCTACCTCATCATCTGTTTTCCACAAATTTTTGTTCTTTGCGGTAGGCGTCACAGGCGAGACTGAATTGGAAAGTGGAAGTACTGCTACTTTGGAAAACCAACCAGCTCCTGGGGAGAAAAAGACAGGCCAGCCTCTGCAGGTTCCTTCTGCATCTCCCTGGAGCTCTGGCAGCAGTGCTGAAGATGAGGGTCCAGAAGACACTCGGGCAGAAGTTACAATTCAAAACATGAAAGTAAGAATGAAGTTCTTACAAAAGGTTTTGTCACTAAATTCAGAGAATTATTCTCAAACCTCTAAAACATGATTATTTTCAATTTCTGATGAATAAAACATGCAGCAAACTTTATTTAACTCCTTTCACTGCGCCTCAGGTCTTTTCTAACACTGGAAGTGAGGCACAGATCTTACAGTGCTCAGGGAGAGAAAGGAGTTACAGCTGTATCCAAACCTAGAAAAGGCTTTAGCTAGTAAAATTCCTCCTACCGTGAATGTATGGATTAATAGATTTTAGAGAGAGATTTTAAAGAAAAACAGTGTATTTTATGGAATTATACTACTTCAAAGATATATCAATCACATTAGTCAGCTGTAGTGTCACACCATAAATAAAAACAAAACCCCATTGGCAGGGCAAAATTGAAATTAAGTGAAAATGGAATGGGTTTTGGAGCCATTTCAACTTTTTCCCCTTGATTTTTCCAGCTCCAGGAAAGAGAAGACGCTCTAAGGGAGCGAGAAGCCTGCCTGGATAAACTAAAAGAGGTGCGGTAGTTTAAGGATGCTTATTGCCTTATGTGCCATTTAGCTTGGTGTTTGCTATCTGAAGCCACCATGTGTTTGCCAGCTTTTATGCTTATCTCTTTAAAGTACTTGCAATTTGGAAATGGAAACTCTTTGGAAGTTATTTGAATACTGAAATGCCACTTAGCTTGTAGTTGTTTCTAGAATACTCCGGTTAATCATGTTTGAAATGTGATATTTCCACAGCAGAAGGATGCAGAAGTGCAAGCGCTAGAAACGTCACTGAGGGAGATCTCCAAATGTCGGGACGACCTCAGAGAAGCAAATGAATCCTTGAGAAAACAGGCAAGAGGAATTATTTCCTGCCATCAGTAACTTTCCAACTTTCTGAGTTAACATGCTCGTTTTCTGAACAGGATGTTAGCAAAACTGATGATTTGGTTAGTCCAAGACAGGAATGTGTGAAATCACCTTCACCTTCTCTGTTTCTGAATCTTTAGACATTTTTGGAGTGTGTTCTTTTATGTCACTTCTTTATGGAAAGAAGAAGTGTTTATTTAAACTCTTTGCTGCTCAGGGACTCTGTCGAAGGATTTCAGAGAGTTGTTTACAAAAAAAAGTTTTCCATTCCCTGAAATTGGGGTCTTTTTGAATTCTTTCAGTTAAATGATGAGATTGTTCAGAAGAAGTACTTGAATGAACAAATAAGGACAGGAGAAGCTCGTTTCAGCTATCTGGAAGTAAGGTTTTTTCTTATCTGTGCATGCTTCCTTCATAGGTAAGAAGTAAAATAGAATTCATGGTTCTTTTTTCTTGCAGTGGAAACATCAGTTTATAATGGCAGAGATGTATAAGGATACCCGTGAAGTGGCACAACAGACGACACCTTTCATGCAGGAAGAAGTGAGGGCAGCATCAAAAGGGGATAAGGTAAGAACTGGGTAAGGTGAAAAATTCACTCAAAAGCCTTTTGGCATTGGAACATTCTCTGAATACCTGTTGAAATACGAAAACGTAGCTGCTACTTTTTTTCATTCTAATAAGTATTAGGTTACAGAAAGAATAGAGTCTATTTGGGGGAAGCAGACAGTAAATGGAAAGAGTAAAGCTTGCTGCTAAAATTGTCTTCTGAATTTTATGTTGTGTATGTATCTACTTTTTATTTGTTTGCTATGTTTCCCTCTCACCTTCTCTCTCATCTGTCAAAATTAGATTCTGCTCATCCTCCTCCTTTGTGGTCATCCAAGCTGCGGTCTAGTTTGCTTACAAGAGAAGATCTCTACTAACTAACCAAGTTCACATGAGAACTCCCTGCTGGCCCTTGACACAAAGACAAGTCCGTGCAGGTGATGGCGTGGTCACCTGTACCAAGTGGGAGCTGTCTGCAGACTCCTTTTTAACAAGGAGCTGCCCGTATTTCTCCCGCAGCCAGAGGGGGCTTCTCAAGCCCTAGATACGAGGCCCAGCAGAGCAGACACGGCCTGTTCCAGATTACTGCTTCCTCAGAGATAATGTTTTCCATGAGCTCCTGGTAACTTCTGTCCTGAGCTTTGTCTCCTTTTCCGTTAAATGATGCATAATTTGTCAGAACTAATGTGCTCTGGCAGGCATGTCCGTCTGCTACTGTTTGGTTTAGAAGGTCATCAAGTTGAAAGCTGAAATAGCTGATGATGTGAATGTGTTACAACTACCACCGAACTCTGAAGTTTATGGGCTCCTGACTGTTCTTATGGATTGGATCTCAGATGAGCACCTTAGCAAACTCCAGAGACAAGAAGAAAGAAAGGGCGCTCAGAAACCTCAGTCTAGCGAAAGAACCTACATCCAGGAGAAGTGTTTGAAGGTAAAGGGACTTGAGTTTGCTCTGGTTCATGTGTTTTCAGAGTCACATATATATCGACTGATTTTATTGTGAGAGTAGAAAAGGTCAGCCTGTTTTGTATAGACCTCGGATAGAGTAACAAAAGCAGAATGACAGTTACTAAGTCAGTATGAATCGCAGCAGTCAGATGGAATGGCTGAGTTGTCACTTATAAAACAGAGCCATCATTTTGAGGGAAAAGAGTTGTGTTCAGTCTCAACTTGCCTTTTATTACCAGTGGCTGGCTTTTGCCAGCTGGTGATTTATCTTGTATTTTGTGTGTAACACTGTATAGAATTCATGTTTTCCTACAGAGATGCTTGCACCTAGTTCAAAATATTTTAATGTCTACGTTGGATGTCAGAGTTTCAGTTAATGACTGATAACAGATGATGCTATGCTCTACTGAAAGCCCTTCCTTCCATCTCTCTGGGGATAACAAGGCTTGGAAATCAATGCGGTATTCTGGAGTTCTGCTTTTACTGCTTTCCTTTGTTCTGTGAAGGGTTTGTAGCACTGGTATTGACTTTGATAGTTGAGCTCACACGCCATATCTCTGCTTTGCATGCAAACCTGTGTAACTTAAAATCTGTCTGAGGAGGGAATTCTTTACCTCTACAGGCCCTGACCAGTGAGTGCTTGCACGTGCAATCTGACAAACTCCGGGAGTAATTTGAGGTTTTGGTTTGTTTTGTTGGGGTTTGGTTTTTGGAGGCTTGCTGTCACTTGTAGCCTGCTCACACGCTAAGCTGACATTCTGCATGTAAGTTTGCCTTTGTGTGTTTTTACAGCTTCTGCCTATGGCTGCGGAGCAGCTGCAGTGGATGCCGTTTGTGAATCCTAAACTACACATGCCCCTGATTAGGCTGATATACTGGTGTGTAAGACAGCTAGAGAATGATATTAAGGTAAATTCTCTGCAGATATTCGGGTATTTTTAATACACATAGAAAGTGGATATTTTCAGGGTGTATGTATAATAGAAACGTGGCTGTCTTTGCTAAACATCAATTTGTAACAGAGAAATGGAAAAGTTGGGCAAAAAAACCCACTTCTCATAAACTGAACTTTCTGAGATCATTTTATTGATTTTTGCACTGTGTATCAAAACATATTTTTACATACTGTATGGGAACTGCTGAATCACAACCTGAACCTCTGATTGATCACCTGAGGCAAGCCATGAGTCAGCCATGGGAGCACAGGTGAATTGCCTTCACCTGCCGGAAGGGGTGGAGCCTGACTGCACCTCTCCTAGACCCATTTAAGAGCTGACTGCCAGTGGGGAAGGATCTCTTCTGGAGATCTGTTCTGCTGGAGTTTCATAAGTGAGTCTCAGGATATGGGTAAGTGTCCCATCTATTCTCTTTTTGTTTTTATAATCTGCTTTGCCTAACTCTCTTGTTTGTTTCATAATTATAACGTCTTAATGTTCTTTGATTATACACATACATCTGCAATTGCTTTTGCAATAGTGTCTAAACATCTCAGGAAATACATTTTTATAAATGTGCTTAGCAGACTTGGGAGTTAGGAAAGGAAGTATGTTTTTGTTTGCTTTCTGTGTGAGATCAGCTGAAATTGATGGCAAATTGCAGCAAAGCAGCATGGGGACTTTAGCTTTGTTCTCTGCTGAATGTCCCTCTGAACTCCCTGTTGTTTCTCTTGACAAGGAGAAGCTGTTTTAAATGATCACACTGGAAAGTTTGATTCTGGAGTAATATTTCTGCACAGTTTACGATGACAATTTGAATTACTGTGCCTTACCTGAACGGAGTTCTTAACGTTCATGTTTAGATCTGTGAATGCTTTTGCAGCTCATGACTTCAGGCACCTGCACAGGACAGCATAGGTAGCACTGATTGAACCGGGGTTTCCTCTGCAACCAGAGGCAGCTCAAATAACATCAGCATATCATGGGCCCTCTCTCCTCGGTCTCTTTGTGCAGTTAGTGTTGATAAGGCCCTGTGCTAATGGCGTTCTGTTGCTTTTGTAACGCAAGCAGTATCCTCTGTGCAGGTTTTATTGTGATGCACAATTGAGCCACTTGCTATTTCTCATGTAATCCTTAGGGGAACAGAGTAGATGGGAGCTTCACGTGCTTTCATGCTTACACTCAACATGCATACTGTTTGATACAGGACCCAACAATGGCAGAAACGATGACAACACTTGCTGAAGGTATTTTCATAGGCATAAGAAGTAATGGAGGTGTGCATGGATCTTCCAGCTGCTGCGCAAAGAGCGGATCCAAATCAGCGCTCTTCTTTACAAGTCCATTTATGCCTATGAGGTTTCTGTCAACCATGATTGTGCTTACAATAGAGACACGAGGTAAGCTCTGGGTTTTACTGAATATTTTAATTATGATTCTGTGATTATTTTTTGATCCCTTCATTTTCATTTTAGTTTTCTTCCAGTGTTGTTTTTTCCAGGTGTGTAGCTGGACAAAGTCCAGCAGTTCCATGTTACCACAGTGTCCGTGATGCTTTCCTAGTGAAGGGCCTTTCACTTGAATGATACCTCCTTGTACAGCCAAATGTACTGAAACAAATATGAACCTTGCTATTATTCATTTCATGTTGTAATGTATGTGGCCTTTTTAATACAACAACTCATTCAGAGAGATGGCCGGTGTGATAGAGGAGAACAGAGGAGACAGTAATTCTTTCAAACTATTGCTACAGCTGTAACCAAGATCTTTTCTGCACGTAATGATACAGCACTTCTCTTCTGTCAAGTGAAATAAGTAGCGAATTTCAGCTGTTCTAAAATATTACTGTCCTCTTTGAGCTGGTGGATTTTTCACCTGTCCCTTGAAAGGCCAGTCAGCTGCAGTGCCAAGCATTTATTTCCTGGTATAGTTAGCTATAAATGTTCTGCTTCTGCTGTTATAGATCCCTGGCCAGATAGATCAAAAAGATGTGTGGTGTTCGTGGGTATGTCTGAGAAAACCGGTGGTGGAGTAGCACATTTGGCTTCAGCATATATCCTGCTTCCCTTGAGATGTTGGTCTCAGCACATGGCACTGTAATTAAACTTTTGCCACTGAAGAAATTTCTTCCTTTGTACTTCACTTGTACAGCACAGGTGATCAGTGCTATTCCAAGATGCTGTGGAAAAAATTCACATCAGGAAATTAAGAAGATTGGATTGTTTCCCTTGATCTAAATTCTTTGCATCATTTAGTGCACTGCCGAACTAATGGACGGCTGCATGAAATAGATGCAGTGAAAGTTAAACTACAGCTTTGAATGGAGAGGAATGGCAGTAGCTGCTGTCCTGAAATCATGGCTCTTATTCAGATGAATGAGCCCTTTGCTCCTTCAATGGAGGCCTCCCTCTATTGAATAGATACAGGCTTCCCGATAGATGTTGAAGCCTCCATGGTCCGAAACTATCCAGTTTCCAACTTTTTTTTCTTTCTTAAGGAAGATACTGGAAAGGTTTTGTGTTTTCTTTGGTGTATAAGGTGTAGCTGGACTTTTTTGTCCTCTCCCAACTGTTTTTTAAGGAAGAAAATGAGGCAGAGCAAGGATTTAAAGGCTGAAATGTTAATCATCATGTCAGCCATTTGACTTTTTTTAGTATATATTTAAGTAATTCTGAGGATAAATATTCAGATATTGCTTAGCAGAACTGTGACTGGAGAAACTGTATTGCTTGTTTTCTACTCTCTTTCAGTGAATTACCTGGAGCAGGCATTTCATTCCCTTAGCAGGGACTTGAGGGTTGCTGAAGGAAAGACCTTATTTCTGAGATATCAGTGCATGCCTGTCTTGTTACATCATCTAAATACAGCCAATAAGCAACAGCTATCCAGTACTCTTGATGGCTTACATCAGATGGCCACAGAATCTGGTAAGCTGGGATATATTTGTATGTTAAATAAGGATATAAAGTTTTGATGACAACAAGCGAGGTAAACAGAAGTGCCAAACACAAAGCAGCATGATTCTTCTCTATGAATACCCTAATCTGTCACTAGCATTCATTTGTGTCATGTACAAGTGATTGGAGTTGCAAGGTGCATTTCTCAACTGTGCATCTCTCTTTCTCACTGTCAGCAGCCCTAGCATTGTGTTAGGAGATGTCTGCCACTTATCTCACTACAAAACATTTCCTTAAATCCCTCATAGCTGTGCTTGGTAACAAAGTAATTAGGAAACAGACAACTGTAACACGAAACCTGAGCAGGATTGGTCATATCTGGCATGACTTGGAAGAAGAATTCCACCAGCAGCACATCTGGCAGTAGTTGGTTTGAGATGCTAGGTGCCTCGATTTGGAAGGATGATGGAGTAATGTTGTGAGAGGGTCACGTTTTGCCATGTTGCTTCTCATACAGGATCCTCCTTGGGGAAGGAGGAGCAGTGCTTAATTGAATGGATGTAGGACTGGGAACTGATTTCTCAGCAGCTGGAGATAAGCTTTCTGCAGTGCTTCTCTCTTTGGTAGAATCAATTGCCCACACACAAGTCGCTGTCTGCTTCTGTTCTGTAGCACTAACTGACCAAAGCATTGGACTGCTCTGACAAAGCACACCTCAAAGTGCTGGACACAAGCTGGACTGTAAACCTACAGTATGCCTTCTGTCAGTTTGATTTGGCTCTTTAGTTGCTGACCATATCTCTGGGGGCTTACTGACAGGCAGGAATGTGTTCAGGGTGGCTGTTTGGTACGCACCCTGCAGACACTGACTGCCCGGGCTGCTGCCTCTTCACACAGTGCCACTTCTGCACTCAAGGCGATTGCTGTTGGTCAGTTTGTGCATCTGACAGTGCCAACCACAGATACTGTTGCCTTCCATGCATGGTGTAATGCTTGGTGAGATGTACTCCACATCAGGAGGATGGCACTGGGTCCTTTGTAGGTGCAGCCAATGCCGCGCCATTCTGAGTTCCACCTGAGTTGTGCACCATGTGCCCAGAACCAGCCCAGCTATTCCGTTGTTCTCATGGTTGCATATGAAGCCCTCAGAAGCCATCAGTTACCGGTCTACTTTGTTCTGCCCCAATTTCTGTGGAGTGATTTTTAACACCCTTTTCTTTTGCAGGTTCCTTACAGTCCTTCCTGGCAGCCTGCAGTAACCAGTCCTTTTTCCGTCACTGCTCTGCCTTGTTTCATAACTGCAGGCTAGACACTCCAAACATGGAGAAGCTCCTGGGTGTACTGCAGCACCTCTCTGCTATAAGGTAATCCCTTCTCACCATTATTCTGTTGGTTATGGGAGAGATCAGTGCACGTGGGAACCTTTCTCTTCCTCCTTCAAAACCTCTGCTTTGCTGTTTGTCTGCACTGGAGCATGCAATGTCGGATGTTCTTCGTTAGCAGTTACTTGTCGGTGACAAACATTTTACTCGGTAAAAGCCTCTGGACTTTTACTCTTGCATGTGACAGTGGAGATGGACAAAGCTGACATTTTCCAGATAAAGCACAATTTATAGCCATGAGGCAGTTCAGGCTTCGGGGGGACTGTTAAACTTTAGAACAGAGGTTTCCATTGCTTATTGGTGATGGGTTAATTGAAACAGGTCTTTATTGTGTCAGTGGAAGCGTGCTGCTGGGTTTCATGGGTGTGTTACCTAATGGGATTGTTTTGTTTCCCAAAGCAGGCATCTGAGCTCAGCTGTTGTTTCCCTTAGAGTTCATTATTTCCAGAGCTCTGGGATTTGTTGGGTTTTCTTAGGAAGAAATCTGAACTCTGGGAAAGCTGTGTTTTCCTGTGAAATACCCTGGTTTGAATCGCAGCTGTCATTGGAAATAAACTAAAAGAAAAGTTGGCCCAGAAATCCAGATTGTTTCTAATTGTTGCTTTTAATGAAGATGATCTTACAGCCGGTGCCGTGAATCTTTTTAACTGGACCTTGAAATACTCCTGAAAGTGAATTCTCTCTTTTTGTCACTGGCTTTGTATCATGTCATTGTTACGTTTGCCTTTGGTATCATTCTGGATTTTCTGAATGCCTCCCATTTCTGAATTTGTACTTTTCATTGGGGAAATCCCCTCATAGCCTTTCCTTAGGTTTTCGTTGTATGGTGTCTCAATAGCACTTAGTCAAGTGGAAGTACAGTACCTGATGATTTTTGCCAAGATTTTTCTCTCTGTCCCTTGAGAACGTTCAGCTGGGAGACAATTGTACAAAACTCCCAAAGCAATGCAAGTTTTTCCTCATTCAATAAGTCATTTTTCTGTGGTGTCTTTCCTGTACTGCTGTGACTCGCTGATTTTCAGTGACCAAATGCCAACTGTTTTATGCAAAATCTTTTTCAGGAGCGATAAGGAGATGTTCGAATTGCTTCCACTCAGAGAACTGATTGAAGATCTTCAGAAGGTGACAGACCCAGTTAACGCTTCCATCTGGACCAAGCTAAATTCCATTCTGTCAAATCTGGGAGCAGAGCAGAGTAGCACTCATGCTGCTCCTGCAGACACAGCTCACTAGCCATACTTAGCATGTATAACTGTATAGATACAGTAGTGCTTAGCAGTAAAGCAGACTAATAGCTTTGAACCACATTGGTTTGCTGTTATGTTTCTATTGTGTCGTGAGAGTCCAGAGACTTCCCCGCAGGACCCCCAAGATCCCCAAGCCCAATGGGACTCCCCACGCTCTCCTAAATCCAGTAAGCACCCCCAGAAAGGGCAGGACCTGTGGGACCCTTCAGCCCCTCCCAATTCCTATAGGACTCCCCACAATAAAACAGGAGTCCAGGGCGTCCTACAGCCCAATGGGCCTCCCAACCGCAATGGGACTGCCTAACCCTAATAAGACCCCTCCAAAAAATCAGAATAGGAGCCCCTAGAGTCCCCAGTCCCAATGGGCCACAGCTGCCATCCATCAGCTGCCTGTAAATTCTCGATGGAAAGTGAATGCATCGACAGCAGGAGCTTATCAAGCCAGAAACAAGCAATACAAACAAGTGGGGAGAAATGCTCTGAGTCAGAGATATGGCTGAGCTACCCAGATCTTCTTCTTGGGCTCACCACCTGGCTCAGAGTTTGGTCATCTTCTCACTGGTTGTAGCAGAGGAGCTGGACCCATCAAAGGAAAGATATCAGCACTGAGTGCCACAAGAACACCTGGATCACATCCCAGGTGGCTTCAAACAGGTGTGAGGTTCTGCTGTGATACTGAGATGGGCTTTATAGCAGACCCCCACTTGTCTCAGGTCAGGTCTGTGTCTGTACCAACAGAGGTACCTCAGAACTGGCTGCTGCTCACCCAAGGTGCATTTCTAAAAAGCAAAAGCTTTCACGAACGCTACAGAAACCTACTGAGTTTTATGGGGTTCTGGGTCAGATGGGATGGTAGGGACAGACGGGCTGACACGGAGGTACGGGTCACATGGGGTTATGTGGTCAGGGGTGATGTGGGGGCAGGGATCCAAGAGTTCTGGGGCCACATGGCATCTGATCTCAGCATGATGGGGGCAGGCAGGGTCAGGGAGTCACAGGGTGGTGTGGGGCTATGGTTCACACAGGGCTTTGGGTCACGTGCAGCCATGGGGTCATGCACCTACAGGGTTATGTGGTCATCTTGTGTTATGGCTCACATGGGGTCATGGCTCAGAGCCCCACCTTTGGGCTACAGGGACCCCCAGTCCCTCTCAGGAAGAAAGAAAACCACTCCAACACTGCCCCACACCTCCCATTTTTACCCCCAAATGCTCCCCACATTCCTCCATTCCCCCTACATTCCCATACCACCCATGTCCGCGTGTCCCCATGTCCCACCTGAAGCCCACATCTGGCGTTCTCCTGAGCAGCATTCTGCTCCTGCAGGCTGTGTTCCCATATCCCCCCATGTACCTATATCCCCTACAGCCCCCACAGAGCTCCATAGCCCCTCAAGGACTGTCTCAAACACAGTACACCTCCCACACAGCCAGCCTGGGATCTCACAGGTTCCCCGTAGTCCCCAACAACACCCCGTATCCCCCCCATCACTCCCACTGAACACCCATATTTCCTTCCTAGCACCTCTCTAACCCCATCCAGGCCCCCCTGGGATCTCACAGACCCCACAGTCCTTGAAAGGACCCCCATCGCTGTCCCAGGACCCCCATAGCTACCCGGGGCTCTGGTGTGAACCCAGGTCCTCAGTGAGCTGTGCCGCAGTGCTGCACCCTGAGCCCTTCTGCATTGCTGCAGATTCCAGAGCAGTGGACACTGCTCTGTGTGTCACCGCCCAGACGCCACCCCTGTGCTGCCTGTGAAAGTCTTGTCTTTGCTTCTGGCACATCTTCCATCTCCAGAGCACATGAGGAGTGTCCCTCAGACTGTGGCTCCTGGTTAACCCCGCAGCATCCAAACGAGGAATCCTGTAGCAACCCACATCTCAGGATGGGGCTGCAGCTGTGTCCCAATTCCTTCATTAAAGAGAGGAGATTGAATTAGCGTAATGGGGCATCTTTCCTTCTGGCATTTCCCACCATCTGCATGTTGTTTGTGGCATGCAATTGGCATTTTATCATAGATCTGTGAAAGGGGATTTGTTTGCAGTTGGTATAGGAGTGATAGGAATCAGAGATCTGGGGCTCCTTTCTGCTGTAGGGGATCCGGAGGGTCAGCTGGAGGCAACAGCTGCTGCAAAGAGTAAAAGAATTTTTTAAAAAGATACAGAGAAAATGTTAAAAAATGGAGAAAGAGAGGCAGGCAGAGAGGTTACAACCCCAGCAAAGCAAAGTGGTTCACCGCTCCTCAATCAGTGGTATCACGGTGTCAGGTGCTGATCTTCAGTAGTCATGGGTTGTCGGAGGTTGTGTTGTTCAGCTGACGACTAAAAACGACAGTACAAACTCTTGCTCATAGTCCAAAGCAGCCGAGTTTCCAGCTTTGGGATCTCAGCAGGAACTCCTTTGTCTTCCAGGCCTTGCAAATCTCAGTCAGTGGTGCTAAGAGGATTAATGCTGGCCAATGATCTGGCCCTTAGTTCTTTCTCAGCTGCAAGTATTACTTTAGGCTGTTGCCAAAAGGTTAACACTGTGATAATGTAATGAGAAAGTATTTATATAGGTGTGTATAGATCTATAATTATGTTTAATGAACTCTTTGCTACTAGTACTTTTGTTATTTTCAACTCTGTCATTTTAAAATAAAACTATTTTACAACAGCAGCAGAACCTCTTGAATAAACTACAGACTCTCACTCACTCCTTGGCCGTTTACTGTTCCAGAAGCAAGTTTAAACATTATTTGTAAATTACATTTTTTAAACCGTACGGTGTAACTCAACAATTAAGGCTCCCAAGGGTCTCTAAGAAGCCAGTGAGTCAACACCTAGGCATGGAGTAATGGCAAATCAACAATTCTGAGAAAGGTGCTTCATAAGTTAAGGAAAACAAAAATGCAGAGCCTGACCACAGAAGGCCCTCAGACTTACGAAACTGAACTGCTGTATGTAGTGCAGTGTGAAGACTTAAGTTTCTTTGTTTTTTTTACTAGAGCAGCAAAACACACTGCGTCCAAGTAGAAAGCTCACCCCAGAAAGTAATTTTGAAAGGAATGATGACTTAGATTCATGCTCCTAAATCCCTACGCAGTTTTGATTTCAAAATAATTGTTCATTCTGTAAAATAAGGACTTCAGCCCCTGAAACCCCATACCATATCTGCACATATAAAAAAGGCTCTCCTCTGAAATGTTTCTGTTTTTCTGAAATTATAAATGAGTGGCAACTCATCAAGACTTTAAAGCACGTAGCAGGGTGAGCAACATCCCGAAAAAGGACACGATATACAGCTGAGACAGAAGCAGACTGCTCTTCAGCTCCACAACAAACACATCAGGTCACGCCCCTACAAGTGACCGCAGAAACAACCCCCCCTTTTTTCCCTTCCTCTTCCTTCTTCCCATTCTTAAGCTGGGCAGACCAAATGAAAGTGAGTCCACAAAAATAAGGTTAACAATAATATTAATTAAACAACAGTAACAACAGCAACAACCACAAAACAGGCGTATCAATGTCTGAGGAAAGGTGGGACTGTAAGTGCAGTATTTCTTCATGTGCGGTTCTTCTACTTCATAAGAGTTCCGTTTGGATGAGAAGCCCAGTGGGATCTGTGCATGACAAGAGCCAACCCCAAGTAAAACCCCTTCTCGTACCATGGGCAAGGCAGATCCTGAGCCCCCACGTCCTTTTGGCAGCTGGGCCGTCAGGGAGCTGTGCTGGTGTTTAGCTGTGAGGTTTGCAGGAAGAGGCTGTAGGAGTGGGAAAGGCTGCAGTCACCTGGCCGGGTGCATCCAGTGCAGCTGGAGCTGGTCCATGGGGCTGGTCACGACCGACTCAGCGTTGGAACGTGATCACGATGCCAGTGCCACCCCAGTTGTCGGAATGGAGCAAGGAGATGGGTGATGATACAGGAGAGCTGTGGTTGGAGGCCCAGAGGAGCTCGCTCCCTCCTGCATGGGTTTGTGAGCCAGCGAACTTGAGGTGCAATCAATTTGTTCAAATCAAAAATTGGGCGCAAGTGCAGTCAGTTTGCAACTGAACATGAAGTGAACATGTATTCAGAGAAACCATTCACAGCATAATTCCACACCCAGATCACACATGCGAAAGTGGTAGGTATACAGGAGGCTGGTGAATTAAATGGGAAAAGGGGGGAAAAGCTTTCTTTGGTGAACTGGTTACTTAACTTGGTTGCATTTTGGAATATGCATCCTTGGGGTTTGCACTTTTCCATTGCCAGCCCTAGGAATGCAGTACAGGATGGAACCAGCTGAGAGCAATCTGTGCTGCAAAGCCTCCCTTTGGGCTCCAGCATGAAGCAGGTCTCTCTGGGCTCTGCAAGTACTGTCTGTACATTATGACATTGCCTAGAAGTTCCATACCATAGGTGAAATGAGCAACAGCCAAGCAAGCATACTTGCTCCAGTTCTAGAATAAGCTACAGTGCATGGTGGTTGCCAGAGTAAGAACAAAAGAGTTGCTTAATGCACAAAGAGTAGCTTGTCAGAGTGACATCTGCAAGAAAACAGGGCCTGGAGGGATGCAATGAAGAAGGCTAAAGCCCGCCTGGAATTGAACCTGGTGAAGGTGATAAAGGATAATAAAAAAGGCTTTTTTAAGTATGTTAACAGTAAAAGGAAGACGGAAGACTAGCGAGAATGTATCTAGTGAGGGGGGTGTTCTGGTAAAGGGGGATGCTGAGAAGGCAGAGATACTGAATGCCTTCTTTGCTTCTGTCTTCAGTGAAAAAGCTCCCCCTCGGGAATCCGAGACCCTGGAGGTTCGTGAAAGGGTCTGGGTAATGGAAGACTTCCCTCTAGTCAGGGAAGAGGTGGTCCGAGAGTGCCTGGGCAACACCAATGTTCACAAATCCATGGGACCCGATGGGATGCATCCACGGGTGCTGAGGGAGCTGGCAGAGGTGATTGCTGAACCGCTCTCTGTCATCATTGAGAGGAGAACGGGGGAGGTGCCTGAGGACTGGAGGATAGCCAACGTCACTCCGGTCTTCAAAAAGGGCAAGAAGGAAGATCCAGGCAATTATAGGCCAGTCAGCCTCACCTCTGT